TTTAAATGAATTGTTAAAACCATGACCCTTTCTTGCTCTTCTGCTAGCTCTTTTAAACAAAAGTAAAATAGCACAGCCCGGTCCGTGTGGCTCAGGGGTTGAGCATCGACCTATGAGCCAAGGGGTCCCGGGTTCAATTCCTAGTCAGGGCACTTGCCCAGGTTTCAGGCTCGATCCTCAGTAGGGGACGTGCAGAAGATAGCTGATCAATTAATGTTTCCATCTCTCTATCCCTCCCTCTCCTTTCTTCTCTCTCTAAAAAAAAAAAAAAAATTAATAAAAAAATTTAAAAAAATAATAGAGAAATAAAATCAGAGATGCACGAAAGATTTCCCTAATCAGCCCCGAGAATGAGCACAGTTCTTGTTCTGCGCACAAGGGAAGGGCACGAAGCTCATGCTCATATTGCTTCCTTTGTCGGTCACTTTGTGGACCCAGAGTACTTTCTGGATGATCTGACCCTCACCAAACATGTCACTTCAGGAAAGCCATCACACTGGGCTTTTTGTCTTTATTGCATACATTCAACAAAATATTTAAAATGTGGTGAGAAGATAGTAGATACAGTAAAAGTAAAAAAGTCGCCGAATCCGGTTTTGCTCGGTGGGTAGAGCGTCGGCCTGCAGACTGAAGGGTCCCAGGTTCAATTCTGGTCAAGGGCATGTGCCTGGGTTGCAGGCACATCCCCAGTGGGAGATGTGCAGGCGGCAGCTGATCGATGTGTCTCTCTCATCGATGTTTCTGGCTCTCTATCTCTCTCCTTTCCTCTCTGTAGAAAATCAATAGAATATATTTAAAAAAAAAAAAGTAAAAAAGTCTTGCCTGGCCGGTGGTGCTCAGTGGTTAAGCGTTGGTTGACCTATGAACCAGGAGGTCACAGTTAGGCACATGCCTGGGTTGAGGGCTTGCTCCCCAACGTGGGGTGAGCAGGAGACAGCCTATCAATGATTCTCTCTCATCACTGATGTTTCTATCTCTCACTCTCCTTTCCTCTCTGAAAAAAATAAAAATATATATATATTTTAAAAAGTCTCAATATAGTTTCTAAATAGTCAAGACCCAAGGGATCAGGACTGTGCCTCTTTTGTTTTTGTAAATCACAGTCTGCCCTGGGAGTTATTTAGAGTGCAATCCTTCAAAATTCAGGTCAGAATCAGAGAAAACATTGTCTTGTATTAGTCAAAGAAGTGACCTGAGTTAATTCTATTGACCTTGCGGTCACCTCCACCCCTCATCCAAGCAGCCCCTGTGTGCAGCCCCTCCCCTTGCCCATTCCTCTCTGCCCCGTGTGTTTTGCCAACACTTCTCCTCGCCAGCCTGACAAGCCCAGGAAAGTTCAGTTCCCTTGTCCCCAGTGTGGGTTTCTGTCTGAGCCTGCCCTCTCCTGAAGTCCTGTGTCCCTCACCAGCAGGGGCCCACCTTGGAGGCCCCCCAGGCTGGGCTGAGCTGCCCCAGGGTCCTTCCCCCAGCCCGGGGCCCTGCAGATGGTCTCTATCTCAGGCCTGAGTCCCCACCCACCTCTCTCTGGGACCCTGTGTCCAAGTTTAGGGACCACTCACTAGCAGAGAACTGATGACCCCATCCCAACCCAACCTGACTCCCCACAGTCTCTCTGATTCATTCCTCAGGTAGTCCCCCACCCTCTCCCAGGTCATGTCGGCAGACCTCGAAGGGAATTTCCCACCTGGGTCCTCACAGCGGATCTGGTCAGAGCCAGAGGGGCCACAGAGAGGGCCTGGGGCCGGCTGAGCTGAGCTGCTGTGGGATAAAACAGGCCGCTCAACTGCAGGGCCCTGCTCGCCCCTCCTGACCTCTGACCTCCATGGGCCTGCCCATGAGAGTGCTGCCCACTCATCCCTGGGCCCCTCCTGAGTCCCCATGATGCTTGCAGACTTCACCCAGCCACTGGGCCAACAGTGACCAACCCGCCAAACCGCCCAGTGGGCCCCTCTATGCTGCACAATCTTCCTCTATTACTGACTGGTTGTTCATTCAACCACTCAAATCATTCAGTCAAAGTATACAGAACACCGCCTACTTTCCAGGGACCACTCTAGGCCTCAGGGAGATGTGAATACGACAGATGAGGTCCCTCCCCCAGGGAGCTTTCAGTCCAGTGGGGACAAACGAATGATTATCACAGTGGGGTCTGTGGGCGAGGACTGGGCCACAGCCTGTGCCACCAGCCTGAGCCGAGGTAGCACCGAGGTGGGAAGTGTTTCTAAGCTCCCAGAGCAATTTGACAGTAATTTCATGTTTGTTTAGTAAAAAAAAAAGAAAGACAGGAAAAAGAAATCAGGCTGCTGCTACTTGTCTTCTTTTCCATCTCATCTTTCTAATAATCCATTTTTAGGATATTCTGCAGAAGGCTAGATCCATAATGGAGTGGACATTTAGAAAAATCCATCCTACACCCCAGAAGTTTTGAGAAGCCTTGTTCTAATCGACAAAGTGCACTGTGTGCCACGGAAAACATGGTGGAGGATAACGAGGACAAACCTGGTCCAAGGAGGGTGGTGTTGGATGGGACCTGAAGGAACCAGGCAGGCAAAGAGCTGGGGAAGGAGCTTTCCAGGCCAGGGAGCCGCCTGTGCAAAGGCCCTGAGGTGAGCGAGAAGCTGCAGGGCTGACAGGAAGGAAGCCAGTGGAGCTGGAGCTGGCGCAGGAGCAAGGGGGTGTGGGAGGGCCGGCAGGCAGGCAGAGGCTTGGTCCGTGGGTGCATTCTGAGGGCAAGAAGATACTGAAGGGCTCAAAATGGACACACACTTCCCATTGGCCCCTTTCTGACAGCACAGGCACAGGGCAACCTCATCCTGGACTCTCTGGGAGGGCTTACTCATGTGATCCAGAAGGACATTGGGACAGCAGCACCTCAACTAAAGTCCAATCCCGGGACGGGGGTTTGCGGATCAGCTCTCCTGTGAAGGACCAGCACGCAATCCCGTTAAAGAAACCTCTGTGCCTTGTCACAAGATGCTGCCGAGATGGAATGTGACTGAAAGACTTCCTCAGAGGTAATATATTTTGTAACTTGGGGAAAAGCTAAAGAATGGAAAAGAGAATTCACAATGTTTTCTGAGAAGGGTAGGGGTTGGGTGATAAATTGGTTGATCTGGCCTTGGATCAACAACGGAGTGATGATGGGTACCCTTGACAATGATGCTCGCGCAGGCTCTGTAAATTTCTGAGCCATTACCGGGAAGATGAGGTGATGTGAGCATGATTTTAGAACTGTGTCTTCGGAATCCTCTTTTTAACAACGTGGCAAGCTGTGCTTGAGACGTATTTCACAGGGAGGTCGACAAGCCCTCGATAACTGGCACCCACCGCTCATCAGATCACAGATCTTCTCTGTACCCTGCTTTCAACAGGAGAGTTCCCAGGGCACTGACACGGAGGAGGAAAGTCTTTCTATATTATAGGAGCTTGCTGCAAATTGTTTACCAGAGAAGCCTCAGGCAGGTTTAATTTCCGAACCAGCCCCATAATTCTTCTTATTCTTGCAAAACAATCACTTTGCATATGAAGGGAATTTTCTAAATGAGTTTGAAAGTTTGAGTCATGCCCTCCACATAAGCCTCCTGCGGCTGCCAGGACACTCTTGATGTAAGTTTGCATATTAAATATGAATATCAGTGAATTCAGTAGCTAGCCAAACTATACTTCTCAACTTCTTTGAACTTATTTTGTTACTCTGGAAATGATCATGGAAGACCCACTGTCACATTCATGAATAATTATGCATGATGCCGAGTGGTGAAAAGTCATGCTTTGCTGGTCAAAGTATAAAATTAAGCCTACCTTCCCGGGCAATTTGGCAATAGGTGATGCCTATTGGCAATAGGCACTTTTAGAAATTTTATATCCCTAACCCTTATAGAAATATTTCCTAAGGATATAATCAGAGATAAATACAAATATTTTTATACAGGGATATTTGTTATAATAATATTTATAAAAATGAAAACTTAGACTCATCCTACAATCCAATAACAAGAAATTTGTGAAATAAATTATGGTGCATCTATACGATAGGATATTATACAGTTGCTAAATGCTCACAATATGATGTTATTTGAAAAACAAGGCAAATGATAGAATATTATACAGTTGCTAAATGCTCATAATATGTTATTTGAAAAACAAGGCAAACTTATATTTACAGTGTGATTTTGTTGATACTGTTGTTAAACACATCCTTAGAAGCGCTTATACAAAACTGTTCAGGTTATCTTTGGGTGATGGATTATAAATAACTGTTTTTTGTTGTTTTCTATAGTTTTAAAATGCTCTACAATGTGTTTGTATTACTTTAAAAATAAGTGATACTTACAAAAACAATGAAAATATTTAAAACATCAGTCCTTAGATACTATATTATTAATGTAGATTTAAAATGTTATAATCATGAAATAACCTTAGCCATGATCTTACAGACTTTTAATCAAGGATATTTCTGAAATAATCTATTACTGATCCATAGAATTGGTGGTTGATGGGCTGATCAATACCTTTCAATCACCCAAGTTGTTTGGCTCATGGCATTTTCATGATTTATCCAACGGGGAACATCTGACTTAGCCCAATGCACTGGTCTATTGGTGACAAGAAGGTCCTGCTAAGGATGGATGGAGAGGTGAAAACGAGGGCAAGTTTTGGGATCTACCTTCACTGAAACCATTTTCTTTGAGGGACTGGATATCTGATCTGATTTTATTTATGTCAGATCTTTGAACAAATGACTACACAGGTATGTTTGGGAGGGAAGGGGTTAAGTCTGGAAGCAGTGCTTGATTTAAGATTTGTTTTGGAGCCACTTATCTCTTGGGTTGCTGACAGCAATAAGCATTTTTTAAATACCTAAAGGAATGAAAGTAGATTGAAACCTGGTTATTTCTCTATCTTCAGTCAGATGAATGTTTGAGTTAAAAAACAACCCAAACCAAAACAAAACAGATCAAAGTTACTTTTAAATTTGTCATGCATCTGTACCAGGTGTGTGGCCTGTTCTAACTGTCAAGATGACCTAAGAAAGATATTTATTTTGTAAAATAAAGTTCAAAAAGGCAAAGACATCATTGACTGAGACCAAAAACACCCGATAACTCCTGCAGCTGGATGGCCAACAGGCATTGACATACATTCCTTATTTCGACCAGAAACGGGTAGAGTTATTCCCAAGGTTAAGTAAAGGTCACCTCTCTCTGCCAACTGCCGCTCAGTGGTGATGGAAAAGCAAAGGCTGAGGTTGGGTGCTTGGAAATTTCACTTAAGAAACAAATGGCCCCAGTCTGTCTGTTCACTCAGGTCATTTCTGTTAGTTTTCCCATAATTGTACTGGATCCGCAGTCAAGTGAAACGACAGATTCATCACTGATAGAATCTCTGTCCTGGGCCGACAGTTCTTTGATTTGTGTGTCTTTGTGGCCAGGGCCATTATTTCTAACTGCCTTTTGATCCTGCAGCAGGTCATCTATCTTTCACACATTAAATTTAATCTTCACGTTAGATGCTGATGGGGAATTTGGTCTGGAGTGGCTATTGGACTAGTTTCACAAACTTTAGTAACTTCAAAAAAAACCTTAAAAGACATCAAAATTTGAAAGTAGAAAGCAAATAATGATGGCTTTCTAGTAATTTAAGGTTGTTACAAGATCTCCAGTGATAATTCTGATTACTTAGGTCCTTCAATGATTTGACCCCTTTAAATATGAAAAGTGTACACATCTCTCTCATTACATCTTCAAAACAATTTAATTGTATCACTTCTGATGATTCCAGATATGAGCCTTTGAACTTTTTTTTTCACCAACTATATAACTAGGTCCTCTGTGTTAGGAACAAGGGGCCAAGGATGACTCAGGGAAACAGAACTAATAGGATCTATAAAGATAGGCGAGAGATTTATCATGGATTTACTGGGGATTGAGCCCACAACCCAGGCATGTACCTGGCCAGGAATCAAACCTTGATCTCCTGGTCATGGGTCAACACTGAGCCACTGAGCTACACCGGCGGGGCATCACACAGATGATTTTTATCCACAAAAGATGTTCGCTGTACTAATTATTTAAAATTGGGGAATGCAGACAACCAAAGAGGCCGGTGTAAGGAAACCATCATCTTTCTTCTCATGTTTCTGCCTCAGTGACTGAAACCTTCCGCCTTCTTGGGGAAGACACCTCAACCATTCTCTCCACCTCATGCTCCTTATACTCAGGGGAGATGTGACTTATCAGATGGGTGAAAATGGGCAAAGGTGACTGGCTGCACCCTGAGTTGTCTGCTATCTGCCCCGACCTCCCAGGTTGCAGCCCACCCACCACCATCTCTGTGCATGCCACTGGTTGGGCTAAGTCTCTAGATCTGCAGGCCCAGCCTCCTCTTACCAGATTTAGGGAAGAGAGCCTGGTTTTGGCTCCCAGAACATGCCAGTCCATGGTGCATTAACTGAGAAACCAGTCAGAGGGCTGGATGGGGCCTCAGCAGCTGACGCAGGTTGACTCAAGCTGCTTCTAATATTTGGGAGCCAGGTAAACAGGCTTTATAACTCAAGTGGGCCATCCTGGCTGACTAGGGTGCAATGCGACATTTGAGTCACTGTGAGTCTGGCTGGTGTCATCCAGCCCTGGCCATGTGACTCTCCGTGACTACGATCTGTAAAAGCAAAGCTTGGGTACTGCTGCGGAACTAGCCCGAGACAGACATTTTATTCTGGAGAGGAGTTATGCAAAGTGCTGAGGTCCCAGAATACCAGCTCCCTCCCACCTGAAAGTCAGTGCTTTCGCTGCTTCAAAGCTCTCTCTGCCCCGCCAATCTTTATATGACTGGCTCTTGGTTTCACCAATCAAATCTCAGCCTCAACTGCCTCTAACTGAGCAGCCTGCTTGACCACTGGATCTAAAGCAGCCACTTTCTAGAAACTGTACTATCTTAATTCTCTGCACAGCACTCACTTCCTTCTTTATTTGCTTGGTCTATTTCCATCTGCCTCGAAAATGTAGGCTCTTTGAGAATCATTGCAACACCCCGCTGCCCAGAGAAACACCTGGCCCGTCCGTGTGAGTACGCAATCAATATCTGCATCTTACACGTGAATCTGATGGCAAGGACACACAGTAGATGAACCCTTCCCCCAACTGGAGTCTGCATTCTGGGCCTCTAGAATAAACAGTGAGAAAGACACAATTGCTCCCTGAAAGTGACAACATGAATGACTCTGGAGGGACTTCCTGCTTCTACTGATACTTATTTGTTAAAACGCCTGCTATATGGTAATGATCAATGTTTTATTTATTCTGTCCCTTAGTAACTAATATTTGAGAAATTTTACAATATTAATGGACCTTAATCTAAGATAAGTTCAACTTACATTTTTCAAAATATTTCAATACTGGGTATTAATAAGAGAGATAATTATGGTCAAAATTATGATGCCAAAACTTTTAATAAATGTTTGATGGTAGTGTATACACAATTCAGTTTTTGGTGTAAGATTCTTTGGCAGTCAGAAAGAACATCTGATTTACTTCGCTAATAGGAATATCTCTTAACGCTGGGATGGCCTCTTCCTGGTATTTCTTCTGCTGCTGATTTTTAGCATAGTTATCTGCAAGAGGACAAAAGGCTCTCATTACCCAATGAGTTCTCCCGTCTTTATGGAGACCCACTACATAACTGACTAGGCTAATGCTTGGATAATGAAAAATACATTTAAATGTCATTAAAAGATTACTTGAATGCTCTCTTTAGTTCCCTCCGTGGGAGTGCACTGACCATCAGGGAGTGCAGACACTCAATGCAGGAGCTGCCCCCTGGTGGTCAGTGCACATCATAGCAACTGTTCGGTCTTGTTCCATTGTAATGGTCGTTTAGGTTTTTATTATATAGATTGATTTCAAAGAGGAAGGGAGAGGGAGAGAGGGATAGAAACATCAATGATGAGAGAATCATTGATCAGCTGCCTCCTGCACATCCCCTACTGGGGATTGAGCCTGCAACCAGGGCATGTGCCCTTGACCGGAATTGAACCCAGGACCTTTCAGTCTGAAGGTTGCGCTTTATCCACTGACGCAAACGGCTAGGGCTAGTAAAGTACTTTTTTGCATCTCTAACTTGGGTAAGAAAGCAATATTTCATTCATCAGTACAGTGATGTGTTAAAGTCCCACTTGCACATTTTTCATAGGAATAGAATCCTATTCAGGCTGAGAAATATATTTAAATCACCTGAAAACTATTAAGTCATTTGGTACAATCATTCATATAAACTTAACACGTTCTCCCTTCTGCACAAATTGTCTGTTTGCCGTGATTCCAGTGAAGAATGCCGGGAATACAGTAAGTCACCAGAAAAGAAGCATCAACCTGTGAACCAGTAGGTCATGACTCGATTCCTGGTCAGGGCAGATGCCCAGGTTGTGGGCTCGATTCCCACCCAGTGTGGGGCATGCAGGAGGCAGCCAGTCAATGATTCTCTCTCATCTATGTTTCTATCTCACCCCTTATCTTCCTCTCTGAAATTAATAAAAATATATTTAAAAAAAGAAATATAAAAAATTATAACTGCCCTAGTCGGTTTGGCTCAGTGGGTAGAGCGTAGGCCTGTGGACTGCAGAGTCCCAGGTTCAATTCCGGTCAAGAGCACATGCCCGGGTTTCGGGCTCAATCCCCAGTGTGGGGCATGCAGGAGGCAGCCAATCAATGATTCCCTCTCATCACTGATGTTTCTATTTCTCTCTTTCTCTCTGAAATCAATAAAAATATATATTAAAAACAAAAACAAAAAAACTATAACTGATTTGCAGAATACATTTTATAGGCTCATACACACACAAAAAGGCTTTAAAAGTTAAAAAATCATACCTGGAAACTTAAAAAATACTTTGCATTTTAGAATATAAGCAAGCTTAGGAATCTGCCTATTTTAATCTTTAGATTTGAAAAAAAAGAACCTTAAAAAATAAAACTG